TCTCTCTCTCTCTCTCTCTCTCTCTCTCTCTCTCTCTCACCCTCTCTCCCTCCCTGTATCTCTCTCCGTATCCTTCTCACTTCAGATGCTTAAAACATTACTTGTACCAACGCATGTAGGAGTAGCTATAACGTTTGATTCATTGTGTTTCATTCATTCAACTGAGGACTCGCAAGCAATTTTTAGCAATAATATTATTATGTTTTATCGATATTTTTAGAGCAAAGGCCATAGCATGTGACATGGCTGCAGACGAGGCAGTGTATGAACGCTTCCTCACGCGCACGTGTGGTCTACTGTTAGACCACAGAGAGAGTATTCTGGTGAGTGCAACCTGTCTGCAGTGCTCTATTGTCGCTGAATGGCTAAATCGTACCAGTAGCAGGCGATGTGGCTTGATTGTCTGTGCACTTACTATTATTTACCCACCATAATTATGGTTCACTGTGCATTTCAGCAATTATTATTTATTTTGTTTTTTTTCTAGTTGGCCTTGAAGAAATATAAGGAAAAAGTGCCAAGCGGATCGATGGATATGTAGTCTGCTCTGAAAGGGTGTGGCCAGCTGCCATTGAACAAACATTATGTTACGTTCACTGGATTACTAGGCTTTACTAGACTTTGTTACATTCTTGTGTATGGTTACAGCCCTATAAACCGAAGGTCCGATAGACCGAAGGCCCGATAGACCGAAGGCCCGATAGACCGAAGGTTTATTCGAATACGCAGTGGCTACACGTCCGGAATCGGTCGCCTAGCCTCCAGGCTACGCATCCGGACATCCACTGATGCCGTATTCGAACGTGAATATGCCGCACATCCACCGATGCCACTATAAACCCTAACCTTAACTCTAACCTTAACCCTAACCATAACTATAACCATAACCCTAACCCTAACCCTGACCCTAACCCTAGCCCTAACCCTTTGCAATATTCGGTCTATCGGACCTTCGGTGTATAGGGATGACCCCCTTGTGTCTATATTGTGTTTACTCTAAGTATGTATTTTTTGCAAATATTTTAAGCATGCTATGAATAAAGGTAAATTGATCGAAGTCATATTATTTACACATCCCGCTGTGGGTAGTAGAGGAGAGAGTGTAAAACCGTGTACGTATTAGCTAGAATAAGAACAAATGGCAGTTTATGTTTCACACGGGTGTGCAGTGTAGAATAGCAGGCCCACTTTTCCTATATTTTTCGCATAGTTCCTATTATTTCATATTGTATACAGTACTGTCTAGCAGCGTTGCTATAATACATGTCCGTGTATATTCCATACTGCCTCACTGATATGGAAACTGTAAATTCTTTGTACAGGGGTGCCACCGTGACAGTGCATGTTTGACACTACTTCAAATGCTGATTTGGCATGTGCTAATTCGAACTCCCTGTGAACCTAACTCATATTTGAGTCATTTCCATGTTTCAACCCATTTTTTTGATATATGAATATGAGAGGCAGCAAGGTATACATTCATAATAGATGGCTTACTCGTTCTGTACGGGGCCGTATTATTGATGCTTCTATCAAACAATATACCTATAGCATGTTTTTTGTTTCATAATTCGATTTTTGTTTTATGGTTGATTTATCACATATAACATTTGATTTATTGCATATAACATTTGATTTATCGCATATAATATTTGATTATTTAATCATATGTTATATACAATAAATCGACAATAATTCCCTGTTTTAAATGTTCACATTATTTGATTTTATATCAGAAAAGAGAATCAAACCATTCGATCCGCAAATGACGCGAATCGAATGATTCGATCCGTGAATTGAATCATTCGATTCACGGAATTACGTGCTTTCCGGCTGGCCGGCTCTGTCCCGAGCCACGGCTCACTTTGATCTCGGGCCCGACCGCTGACCTTGACCTTCCCGACTCTGTTTTGTACATTCCCCCTGACACCGGTTGCGTTCCCGCATCGCCATCACTTCCCTGGCGTGTGGGATTTGCCTGCTTACAATTTATTGTGCATTCTGCGGGCCGGCCGGTAAGCACAAGACGCCTGGATCGCTCTCTCCCTCCCCCTTCCCTCCCTGCCACTCACTCACTCACCACCTAGATCCCTACCTCCCTCCCTCTCACTCACTCACTTACCACCTCGACCCCCTCCATCCCTCCCTCACCACCTTCTCCCCCTCCTCCGCCACCTCCTCTACCTCCTCCCCCTTCTTCCCCTTCTCCTTCCCAACCACCTCCTCCCCCCTTCTTCTCCCCCTCCTCTACTTCCTCCACATTCTACCACTCTCTTCTACCTCCTCCCACCATCCTCTACATCCTCCCTCTTCTATCTTCTCCCCCTCCTCTACCTCCTCTCTCTCCTATCTCCCCACCCATCGTCTTTCTCCACCACATTCTCCCTCTCCTCTACCTTCTCCCCCTCCTTCTCCACCACCATCTCCCCTTCTTCTACCTCCTCAGTCTTCTCCCACCATCCTCTACCTTCTCCCTTTCCTCGACCTCCTCCCCCTCCTTCTCCACCACTTTCTCCCCCTCCTCTACCTCCTCCGTCTTCTCCCACCATCCTCTACCTTCTCCCTCTCTTCTACCTCTTCCACCATCCTCGACCTCCTTCCTCTTCTACCTTCTCCCCCTCTACTACCTTCTCTCTCCCCTATCTCCCCATTCCTCCTCCTCCTCCACCACATTCTGTAAGAATGCATGGGTTACGGTCCTCGGCTCGGCTGTCGTAGTCTCGCGTAAATGACTGTGCGCGTGTTGTACGCGCGTGCATGCGCTGTGGTGCACCCATGCTCCGCGTCGTGTCGCGCGCGTTGGCTGTGCCCGTGTGTGCGGGCGTGCATGCTGCGTGGTGCGCGGGCCGGGCGTCGTGTGTTGTGCGCGCGTGCATGCGGTCGTGTGCCGCGCCGTGCATGCAGCTGTCCGCCCCTTCCGTGTGTGCGCCGGCGAGATGCTGCAGTGTTTGTTTGCGCGTGCTGCTGTTGCGTGGTGCGGGCGTGCATGCTGCGTGAACTGTCGCGCCGGCATGCTGCCCAGCGTGTTGTGCGCGCGTGCATTGTGGTGTGTGCGGGGTGCATGCCTGACGATCCGTGTGTGACGCGCGTGCATGCAGCGTCAGTGGGCGCGCAGTGAGTATGACTAGAGATCAGCGCCCTCGTCTTTAATTATTTACAAGCCTGCGTTATTAATCTAATGCGTGTATGTTAAAGATACATGCATGCTTTGTAATTTCAACACATCAGCAAAGTCTTACAAATACATTAACGCGTGTATGTAAAGGTACAAGCAATGCACGTAATTCCACCATATCAGACTCAAGGTGTGGAAACGCCCCCCAAAGATGGCGGCATTCGTCTTAGTGGACGCTAGGGTCCCGCTAATATATCGATTGTATACTTCTAATTCGTATTCAGATCGAATGACGCTTACCTCATTTCATGGACAGCAGATCTGGCTCGTCTTTCAGTTTTACAGGCATGGCTCTTAATTAATTAAGATGCGTGTCATTGAGGGGGGCAACGCCTGTATGTATAACGTTAAAGCATGCCACGTAATTTAATGAACATTGCGTGTACGTAAAGTTACAAGCATGACCAGCACGTATTCCAACATCACTCACGACTCAGCATCGTGGAAACGCGGGTGGCTGCGACAGTTGGAATTTACGGTGCATTGCTTGTAGCTTTACATACACCGTTTCAATTATTTGTAAGACTTGTCTGATTGGTTGGAGATTAACAAGCATGCAGTATCTTCACATACAGCTATTTAATTAATTCCGCATGCATGCTCGTAACCCTTCGACCATACACCCCGCAGTTCAATTAATTAAAGGACTGCTTATAAATATTAAAGACGAGAACCTGATGCTGCTGTCATCACGCGTAGCGCTCTTGCCTTATCGTGCGCAGTGTGTAACATGCTCGTCGTGCCGAGCTGTGATGGTAGA